ACACACACACACACACACACACACACAATGTAAGTTTTACACAAACAATTTAATACTGGTACACAGTGATGATGATTGTGAAGCTTGGTCAGAGGGTGGGATATTTTCCAGGGAATGCCTTACTGCTAAATGAACTTGCAATTGACTGAGCCCTCAAGGGTTAACTCTCACAACACTCTAGGAGGCAGCAGGAAAGGAGGGAGGGAAGACAGAGAGACACACCCTGTGTGTGAAAGAAAAAATGCACATTTCCCCTTTAAGTAGCTGCCCCAGGCTTAAGTACACGGCCTTGTTAATTAAATCAGCTTGCTGAGACCACAGCTACTGCCTAGATGCTCCCTCCTCGTGTGTCCCCCCTGCTCTATGGAAGATGGGGTAAGCGGGGTGCAGGAGCAGGGGGGAGACACCCTGACATTAGCCCTCCTCTTCTCCCCTCTCCCCGTACAGCAAGCAGGAGTCTCTTGGAGCAGCTGCAAGGCAGAGGGCAGGAGCAGCACATGGCAGGGGGAGGGACACAGCTGAACTGCAGGCAGTTGCTGCACAGTGAACTTAGGGGAGTGGGGAGCTGATAGGGGAAGCTGATGGGGGTTGGGGGGGTCTGCTGGTCCACCCTGGTTCCAACCACCCACCAGCTAGCTGCAAGGGGCTGCTCTTCCTGCAAGCAGTAGACAAAACAGGCGGCTGCCAACGTTAGAAGGGAGCATTTCACAACTTTAAACGAGCATGTTCCCTAATTGATCAGCAACTTAACATCGAAACAACGTTAACTGGGGACGACTTTAAGTGAGGAGTTATTGTATAGATCACCGGGATTGATACAAAGGATTATGAATACTCTGCAGCTCATACTGTCTGGCCCATCTCAATATAATGGCCTTTTGAGATTTTCCAGTTGTAAGCATAATATACAAGAGGGTCCCCAAAGATGCTGCATGTGGTTGCAATGTGTGTCATGGTAGGGACCTGCGGGCCCAGGAACCCAAGGGGCTAAGGCAACCCCTGTGCTGGCGAAGTGTTGAGTACTGGGTCAGCACACCTCCTGGTGTGGGGGGTACAAGCGACAGCACCTCTCCTGGTATGGGGCAGAGAGGTTCAGAGGATGGCACTCACGCCCCTACTGGTCAGTAGGGAAAGTGCTCCATTATTGCCTGTGACAGTCTCTCCTTCCCTGCTCCCCTTCTCTTGATTTCAGGGTTGCCCCTATCTACGTCGGAGAAGTTGTTCCGTTTCCATGAGGCAGGGCTGTTGTTCAGTGTGGTGGGGAAGCTCTCCTTAGGGGGATTTCTTGCTTTCGGCCTGGGCTTCTCCGAGTTCCTCTTGGTTTCCAGAACCTCCAGCCTCACTCTCTCCATTGCTGGCATTTTTAAGGTATGGAGCAATGATTCCTGTGTTAGTGCAGGTTTGCCCCGACTGGACCAGCTCAGACAGCTCCAGAGCAGTGTAACCTGTTCAGAGGTCCTAGGAAACAGGTCTCTGACACCTCACCTGCCACCCCCTGCCTCCTTATCCCTGCAGTTCTAGCTGCTTTAACTGAACTGGACTCCTGCAATGCTCCCTGCCCATCCCCCATAGGGATCCTACAGCAGCCTCATCAGTGAAGGGCAGAGGCCAAAGGCTTTCCTGCCAGAAGGTATCGGTGAGGTCCAGAGCTTGGTGGGGTTCAGGATGTGTGTGAAGAGCAAAAGACTCAGTTATATTGGAGGGGAAAAACTCTCCTGCTTTAGGGCATGGGGCTAGCCTTCATTAATGGGGTTTGGGTGACTCCCCTGGCACAGGCAGTCCCAGGCTCCCTTCTGTACGGTTTCCTGCCCCTTCCTCTGAGAAAGCCAGTGCTGGTGACACTGCAATTGGAGACTGGACACAATGGCCCATGCTCTGACCTGATAGTCACTGTATTCCTGTGTGTCCTGGCCTTGCAGGTGGGGGCAGGTGCAGCCCCCAGAACGCTGGTGTCCTTTCTCATCTTTCTGGGATCTATTTTTTAAAACCCTTCCACGTGGTCAGTGTTGGCACTCTGAGGAGGGAGCACAGGCAGGGCTGTTTGAGCGTCTCATGCACAGTTCAGCCACTCCTCCTCACTCCTTGGCTTCACCCATATCCTGCCCTGCCATCTGTCATGTTCTCTCTGTTTCAAGGAAATCTGCACCTTGTTGCTGGCCACTCACTTGCTGGGAGACCACCTGAACCTCCTGAACTGGGTGGGCTTTGCTGTCTGCCTATCGGGAATCTCACTGCATGTCACTCTCAAAGCCTTCAGTTCAAAAGGTAATGTTGGTGAAGCCCCTGGTCTCTGCAGGGGCCCTTTCCAGCCTACGGCCCTTTCCCTGCCTGCACTACTGCCTCCATGATGAGCCCAGGCTGGGCCTGAGGCCTCTGTAGAGAGGGGAGGGACTAAGGCCTCTGCTGTGTGCATTTCAGTGGGGAAACACCACCGGTTTAGTCACTAAACAGGCTGTCTGTGTCTAGGTGAAAAGGAGTCAAAGCTACACAAAGGGACCAGCTCCAGCCCTGACCTGGAGCTGCTGCTGCGGCGCAATGAGGCTGAGGAGGAGGAAGAGGAAGTTGTAACTGAGCTACAGCACTAATTTGGCCCTGAGCACAATGCCCCTGCTGCATCTGATCATCAGACACAACTGACAACTGAGCAGCAAACAGGTCCAAGAATCTTGGACTGCCAGCTCCTCGAGGTTGGGCACATGAGAGAAGATGGAGCTGGTGAGGGGCCCGCTGCTCAGCACCCACAGACCAGATCCATGGAGCCTGTTTGGGTGGAACAGGCAGCGCTAGACGCTTCCCCTTAAAAGGGATTGGAAGAGAAACCTCCCAGCTGTAGTGTGGGGGATGGGGCGGGGAAACTAAGATTGTAGAACGAGGGGAGCCCACAGGCTGCAGGTCATGGACATGAGGGTCAAGGCTCACTAGGGACTCTTCCTCCAACTTGTTCTGGTGTTGGCTCCAAAGAGAGAAGGCAGAAGGGCCCCTTTGGGGCTCTTTCCCCACAGCTTTGCCATTCAGAGCCCTTACGTTCTCTGAAGTTGATGGTGAAATAGAAAATCTGGGACTTGCCCCCATGGGGCAGCCATTGTACCCAGTAACCTGTTCTCTTCGCATTGTGTGCTGGGACCGAGGATACTCCCTACTTGTTATTGGGGACCAATCCAGGCAGGATAATCAGGGAAAGAGGTGCACTGCTGGCCGCGTGGGGCTCTGCAAGGCATTAAGGGCGTCTAGGCAGCAAATTTCTTCATTGAAAAGAGTTCTGATTTTTCATGGAAATAAATGACTGAACAGCTTCTGCCTCTGCATGCAGCTGAATGTGTGTGCACCTGTTACAGAAAAGCAGAGGCAACACTCCCTCCCTCCATCCAAGCCATTACCTCTATCCCAGCACTGTCCTGTGAGATGTTCATACTGCCACTTGCCCTGAGAGTCTCCCTGGCCTGGCACACAAGGTGCTTTTGGCTGCAAGAGGTAGGTGTCCGTGTAGAGTGCTGAATGGCACTGGTCTGCAGCCCCCTTGTCCTCTCCAGGAAGTAGTAAAGAGAACTGCAAGGTCTCACCTTTGCACTGCCTCCTCCCCAGCATGCCTGAAGACTAAGCTTGATAAGTTTATGGAGGGGATGGTATGATGGGATGGCCTAATTTTGGCAATTAATTGATGTTTGATTATTAGCAGGTAAATATGCCCAATGGTCTGTGATGGGATGTTAAAAGGGGGTGGGATCTGAGTTACTACAGAGAATTCTTTCCTGGGTGCTGGCGGGTGAGTCTTGCCCACATGCTCAGGGTTTGACTGATCGCCATATTTGGGGTCGGGAAGGAATTTTCCTCCAGGGCAGATTGGCAGAGGCCCTGGAGGTTTTTCGCCTTCCTCTGCAGCGTGGGGCACGGGTCACTTGCTGGAGGATTCTCTGCACCTTGAGGTCTTTAAACCACGATTTGAGGACTTCAATAACTCAGGCATAGAGGTTTGTTACAGGAGTGGGTGGGTGAGATTCTGTGGCCTGCACTGTGCAGGAGGTCAGACTAGATGTTCATAATGGTCCCTTCTGACCTTAAAGTCAATGAGTCTAAGTTGTGCTCTCTGCTCCCTGCTGACTTCCACCAGAAGGAGGTAGAAGAGGACTGTCTCCTAGGAGCCCATGTACCAAGGAGGAGGTGAAGGTTTTAGTGTCATGGGTCCTGCAGGAGCTTGCACTCTGTATCTGCCCTTGGTTTCAGGCAATAACTCCTGCCAGGTTAAGGGCCCAGCTGCTCTTTCCTAGTAGCACAGGTTCGGTTATGAGTTTTGAGGATTAGTGTAGTGTTCCCAGAAATGGACAGCAGGTGGCACTATGGCCCCATATTCCAAAGCCACGTTGCCACCCAGGCAAGAGAAGGCGTGTGGGTGGGTGTATATGTCATAAGTAGGGCCCTACCTCCCTGAAGAACACATCACAGACCATGAAATCAGACCTTCCTATGAAATCTAGCTATTGGAGGCGGGAGAGAGGGGCAGGGCTTGGGGCACCCTGGCCCGGAGCGCCTACCATTCACTGGGCTCCAGCTGCTAGTCCGCTGGGCTAGGGAGGGACAGGACTTCCTCTTCCCCTGCACGGCTGCTCTTGGGGGTGGGGGTTGGGAGAGATCAGACCCATCTCTGGGTACCTCCCTCAGCTGCAGGAAGCTCTGTGGCTGCTGCCTTCGGAGCCTAGCTCTGAAAGCAACACAGAAGAGAGAATGGTAATCTTGCAACCCCCCTACAACAGCTTTGCGACCCCCATGACCCTCTTCAGGGTCCGGGAGTGGGGCTCTCTGTTCTGTGAGCTGCTCTTACCCTGATTCTCAGAGCAATGTTCTGACACTGCCAGTGGGAGTCCGGCTACCTCATCACTGAATTCAATTTCCTGATGGAAGTGCCAGAGCCATGAGTGAACTTTAGAGTAACTGACCTGCACCTCCCAGGGCCTGGCAGCTTTTCCATGAGAGGGTGAAACTAAAATCCCCATATGTCTGCCCTGCCCTGCCCTGCTGGAGGGAAGAGCTCAGAAATCTGCTTCTCCAAGATCTGGCAGCTGCTGCCAGGAGGGTTCAACACCATCTCATTTCAGGAGGGCAGAGAGGAAGCCTCAGCTCTGAGTGTCTGGGCTGTGGTTCCCTTGCCTGGGCAGGGCAGAGTGGTGATAGCTGTGGTTCTACCATCCGTTCTCCAGCAGGCACTGTCTGACAGTCTCTTCCCAGATCCTATTCTGGGAAGAGAAGCATGGAGACACCTGCTGCTTCACTTTCTCTGCCCCAATATCTGCTTTAGGAAGCCAGAGCCTGAGGCGGGGGATTGTCATTAAGATGAAGCAGCATTCACCTCTATATGTCCAGTGCAGCTTTGGGCCAGGCCAGGAAGGTCGGAGGCTATGGGAGGACACTCTGGTCCAGTTTTCTGTGAGGCTCGCCAGTTAGGAGCTACGGATGAGCTGTGTCCTCTCCTTTCCTGCCCCATGAATTAAACATGCCCCTGTGGGGAGCTCAGTAATGCTTTTATTAATAGTTAATTACTCCCTGTTCCTTGGCAGGGAAATGAGCCTCACTGGGGCCTCATAAATCCAGGCAGGGACCCTGTGATAAAAGGCAGTAGGAGTTCATTGCAGGGCACCTTCCGGAGCTGCCGCTGCAGCCGTGGCATTTAGTGAATAATGAATGCCTGTGGAAAGGATGGGTCTGACCCTGCATGCTAGCACAACCAGCACCTGGGTGCCTTCCCCTTTCTGGAGCCTTTTTGAGCGCTTTTCCTGTTGCTTGGTGGGGAGGTCTTCTGTGTTCTGAGCCGGTGGGTGTTTCTGAGGGGCTCCTGCATCTGCAAGGGCCCCTGCATAGCAGAAAATTCATGTTGTCTTGCTCTCTAGAAATGAGACATTGTCCCATTTTGCCTCGCTGCCCCTTGCTGTTCCTTGTCAGGAACTTTGAGGGGCACAGGATTGGATCACAACGTGGACAGGCAGCCTCTGTGCAGGGCTGGGCTAGCACTGTAGCTCATTGTGCTATGGACAGTGAACTTCATCCAGAATATAAAATAAATAGGCCGGGTAACATGTAGCTGGGGATGCTGCCTGGTACTGGCAGCCCCCAGCACCATAGTCGGCACCTGGCAGAGGGGATGCAGGTCAGGAGAAAAGACTAGTGCCTCTGCCCCATCTCTAAGGAAGGGCTTGTAGGAATACTTGTCGATTTTTAGACAGCAGCAACCACTGGCTCTGGTGGTGCCCCACAGAGTCGCAGTTGGTGTCATTTTTGGGGGTTAAACTAATGTTTATAACAAACCAAACTGAAGTGAGTGTAATGTAGGTGAAAGGTGCTGGCCTGGAGCCCTAGATACTGAGTTCTCTGCGCAGGGGCAGAGTAGGGCAAGCAGCCTCCTTGTGGTCTTCCTCCCCAGGAGTCAGAGGGGAGTGCTCTCCAGTCAGCCCATTGCACATGAGAGCTGTAGCACGTGAAGGACGTTCCTCCCAGATGGTAACAACTGCATGGCTGTTCCCAGTGGGCCCTGCTCGCTGCTGGCATCGTGACTGGATCCTGGTCTGCAGTGTCCCTCTTCCTAAGCAAAGTAACCTGACAAACCAAAAAACTCTGATTTGGACTCAGAGGCCTGTTTCTCATTTCCCCCAAGACTAGGGTTACCAT